GTGCCTTATAATAAGGATAGGAGGAAGTACATTTTTGTCATGATATCTGCTTTGTTTTGATTGCCAGTGAACCAAATTCTGAATCTAAATTTTTGTAGTTTTTCTGGTGCTTAACTATTACATTGTGTTGTTAAATGTACAGAAAGGGGGAGATTGTTCTACTTTTGGATTTACTTTTTAATTTTTTCTATTTAAGAACTATGATGTTGTTGCCCTTAACCGTTTACATGTGCCTGTTAGTTGCATTCATTGCTCCAAGATCTTGTCTTAATTTGCACCATGTTGATATGATAAAAATCCTTTTTATATTCATGTCAGATATCCTATAACAATTGGCACTGCGATTCCTTTGAAAGCAAGTTTCTTCATCACCTATATAATGGTTGATGGATGGGCTGGTATAGCTGCGGAGGTTTTGATGTTGAAACCGCTAATCATATACCACTTGAAGAATTTTTTCTTGGTGAAGACTGAAAAAGATAGGGAAGAAGCTATGGATCCCGGAAGTATTGGTTTCAACACTGGAGAACCTCGAATACAATTGTACTTTTTGCTGGGTCTAGTCTATGCTCCAGTGACACCTACTGTTCTTCCTTTCATAATAGTTTTCTTTGGGCTGGCCTACGTTGTGTTCCGTCATCAGGTAGTTACCAACATTTTACAATTATATTGTACATGTCAAAGAATGATTGTATAATTTGAGTCTCCTATTAAATGCAGATAATCAATGTTTATAATCAAGAGTACGAGAGTGGAGCAGCATTCTGGCCTGATGTCCATTTTCGTGTCATTCTTGCGCTGATAGTGTCACAGGTAGTTATGATGGGACTCCTGACCACGAAAAGGGCTGCTTCATCAACTCCATTCCTAATTGTACTCCCAATACTCACGATATGGTTCCATAGATACTGCAAAGGCCGGTTTGAATCTGCATTTGTTAAATACCCTTTACAGGTATGCATTGATGATAAATTTTGTTGTTAGAAATCCATATCATCCTTTTTTTATCAGATCATAATTTTTTATGCTGTATGCTCCAGTGTCGAGATGCTCAAGCCTTAGCTACACTATTATCATAACATTTTTCACCTCATAGTCAATCCTCCCATGATTTTGCCTGTTTCTGCTTGAACTTACAAAATTTGTAAGCCTATTTGTACTACATTCGTATCACCAATCTTACTTATGAACAACTTAAAATAATATGTAAACAGGAAGCAATGATGAAAGACACATTGGAACGAGCCACAGAACCAAACCTGAACTTGAAAGCTTACCTTCAAAATGCCTATGTGCATCCAGTTTTCAAGGCCAGCCTCGGTGATGATGACGACGATGATGAAGAGGTTATGAGTTCGAAGTGGGAAACTGAGAGTATCACTGTTCCCACAAAACGGCAATCAAGAAAGAACACACCATTGCCTAGCAGAATTAGTGGTGCATCATCATCTCCTTCTCTGCCTGATGGCATTCGACATCAGCCAGAGCCATAAATGATGGAGCAGGGAATGATATCATAGTTGTAGGAGCAACCACAACACTGGCTAAGTTGGATGTGTGTTCATATGTAACAAACATATAATGGGGCCACATCGATTGACACGGGATTCCAGCTTAAACTGAGAAACCTGAGTGGTTACAAGATAGGGTTGAATAGAGATTCTTTTGATAATATTTTGGATTTTGTTAATAGAGAATTTATTAGTTATTATACTATCAAATCTTTATCAGAATGCTGTAAATTAACCAAAACTCAACATGCTTTAGATTGTGTGAATAAATTTTCTCTCCTTGCCTGTCCCATGTTCATTATTAAAACATAAATATATTAACTTTATTCTTCTTTTTATTCAGCTTGTTCAGTTTAATCTTTCTATTATTAATATAATTCAAATGTGGCTACAAAACTTGTGGAGGGTTGAACTGTCATCATTTTAAATTTTAAAAATGTTTTATTAATTTAAAAAAATATAAAGTTGAACGGAACCATAATAAATTTTCAAAAATATATGAAAAAAAATGTTATTCACCGTGTTATTAAATATGTTATATTATTAAAACCAACTAATTTGTTATTCTTTTTAGTTATTTTATCAAATAACTTATTTTTTTTAAGTTACTAAAAAATTAATTTGTAAATTGTTTAAGGGTTACTTCTATGAAATGTCCTAAATTTTACTTGATTTTCTATAATACTATTATAAAAATATAGAAAATTATTTTATATAATAATACTTAAACTTTACTGAGTATATCATATTATATAATTCTGCTTTTTAGATATCATTTATTAAAATTTGATTCCTTCTACAAATGTATAATTTTAGTATTTTAAACTCTATTTATGTTTATCCTTTATAAGGAGAAACGTATTTTAATATACGTGTCTATATTTTTTTATAATTATTTTCTTAAAATACTATTTAAATTTTATTTTGCTTTATTTTTTTATTCTTTTAATATATTACTTTTTTATTTTTTTTCTTTCTCATATTTTTATTATTATTATTTAAATATATAAATTACAATAATTATTTTTTCTTCAAACATAACAATTTTATTTTTCTCACTTATATATAATTATAAATATATTACTTTCTGAGATTTTAGTTTCTCATTACGTGTTAAATATCAATGTGGTGTTAATATATTTAAAATATTAAAATTATAAATGTAAATATATATTATTATTTAAGTAAAATAGGATTGAAATTTTGAATAGTTTATTAAAATACAATAATCGTAATTTAAAAAATACTGTATTAGTAAAAATCATTAAACAGATAACATGTTGAATTATTGTAACGGTTCAAAGCTGATCATATATATATATATATATATATATATATGAAAAAAAAATTATATTCTTGAAATACTTTTCTCAATTAACATTGATTATTATATCTGTCAGTGACAATTAGGAAGTGGAGAAATGTTCATATTATACATAATTTATGGAAATCACAATTTCTTTTAATTACTATTCTTAAAATAATAAGAGTATATTTAACTGATAATAAATATTTTTGAAAATATTTATCGAAATTAAAGAATAATATCTTAAATTTTTAATTTGCTACTACATTAAATAATTTAATGAGTGTAGTATCGTGTTTTTTTAAATAAAATTATTATTTTAATCAAGGAAAAATAGATTTTCATCCTTTCCATAATATTTGCCATGAACTAAAAAGTTTTCCCTTCTACTATCCCTCCCTAAGCTCGTATTCCCTTTTTTTTTTAATAGTCAAATTTTTGAAGAATTTTTTAAATTAAAAAATATAAATTCAGGATTATATACTGTTCTATCTTTTAACTTACTTTTAACATTCTTTGGTGAGATAAAAAAAACACAGGTAAAATAAAAACAAATTAGAATTATTTTATCTATAATTATATATAAAAAAATTCGTTTGTAATCGATTTTTTGTTGTTATCAGATGAAAAAAAGCAAGTATTGTAATTTTTAAAAATTATTATAAGTTAAATATTTAAAAAATAAATATATTTTAAAAATAGAAGAAAGAAATAAAATAAAATTTAAAAATATTTTAAAAATTAATTATAAAAAATGTCCACGCAGAATTTCTGTTAGTTAAAATAAAAAGTTATATTTTTTATTTCTACGAAATAATCTTAAAAAAAAAATATAAAATGAAACTGAAAGAATATCTTTCAAACAAAATATATATTAAGTAGAGATGAAAAAAAGTCTCAGTATGTTTTTAAGTAAAAAACTAACCATAAAAAATAAACAATAAATAAAACACATTAAAGCAAACAAAATCTGAAATAATATTGACAGAAGTAATAATGTGATTCACCACAGATATTACAAAAATCTACGTTAAAAAATTCCAAACTTACCTTCCCCATTCATAAATGTCACCAAAGACAAAGGAAAGCAATGAACCGTTTGTGGATGGGAAAGAGATCAGAAAGGAGATTTCCTGAATCACATGCTTACATCTCACTGTTCAAACACTCCTTTTTCAATCCTATTTCACAACCTAATATTGATAAAATAATAGAAAAATGTGAAAATAAAATTGTCCCTTTCTTCTGATACAGGTAAAGTAACACCATTCTTTGTGTTGCTGACTCATTTCAATTTTTCAACTAAACTATTGTGTCCGTGTTACGTGTTTTTCTTCGGTAATCTTTTTTACTCCTCCTGATTGTCATCGTCATCGAAATCTCTATCGATTTTGATTTTCTCTCAAAATTTGCTTTCAGATACGGTGCGGCATTGATTCCGTTTCTCAATTCTGATTGCCGCAGAGTTCATAAGCTATCTATCGATTTTTCACCTAAAGAAATTTCGTTATCAGGTTTGTTTTCGTTCAATTGAGTTTTTATGTTTCGTGTGTTAAATTTGAAGAGATATATATGTTTTTCCTGTGCCATTCGTCACGCATGTGAAGTGCTTTGCATGTTAATCTTGATTCGTGTTGGTTTCCTTTTCGTGAATGTAATTGGAACTCGGATTTGTTTGATAATGTTTTGGGAGCAATTGTTGGGTTGACTGGGGTCAACTTCGCCAGGTTGACTTAAACTTTAGCTGGAGAGATTTTTTTTTTCTGTTCTTTCTGGAATTCGTAAGGGGAGAGATTTAATTAGATACGTCATTAGTCCGTGTTTCTTGTTTTCTTGACTGGTTATCTATCGATAATAACATATCTTAAGAAACTGCTACCCCTTGTTGATTCATCACGGTCACTGAATTATATTGTGGTTTTGCAGAAAAATTCTTAGCTAGGATTCTGGTGTGATTGTGTTTATTTAATTCTCAGTTTCCTTTGCTGTGCTTATGAACTGAATGCGCTTGTAAACTTGTGCTGGCGGTATGGATAGGTTTAGGAGTTGATGTTCTATTTTGGCAATACTTGTTGCTCAGACTCTATAAAAGATTGAAATACTAGGCTCAGATGAGTGGTAATCTGTATTGAGATTTTTGTAATTATAAGAGTTACATATCCAATTTTCATTCTGCAGTAACAATGGAGGTTGTAGTCCCAAGAAAAGAACAGTCAAAAACTCAGCAAACTGAGGATAGACTGGAATTGTCCAGATGCTCAAAAGTTTACGGAACTTTGAAGAGAAAAGCAGAAGAAATCCCCGAGCATGGTGATAAGAACTCCAAACTAAAAGGGGAAGAAGCTATGATCTATTTAAACAAGAATAATGAAGTAAGAGTGCCTAAAAAGAAGAGAGGGGTTCGAGAAATCTGTAAGTTTGATAATACAAAACCAAAAACGAAAGGAAAAACTTGTTCACTGAGGACAACAAAACTACCGTGCAAGAGAAGAGATGAGACACAAAAGCTAACTGTCTCAAACAAGAAAAGGAAATATGAAGATGACCTCTTGAATGATGATTTAGAAGATGAAGAAATGCTTATTCTTTTAAAGGCAAAGACCAGGAGCAGAGCTAGAAGAATGAATAATGTGAAGGTGACCATCTTTCTCAGAACCTTAAATAGATGGAGTATTACATCATATTTCAACAATGCTAATTGATTGTCTTGAACAGGATGTTGAACAAAAGCCCAGAAATTGTCATCAATGCATGAAAAAGGGGAGAACAATTTTTGTGCCTTGTACTAAATGCCCGAACATGTACTGTATGCAATGTGTTGATAAATGGTATGACACTTTACATTTCATTAATCAATTATGCTGAACTGAAGGACTATGTGCTTATTTGTGTAGTTTATCATTACAAAATAGAGCTGTTTGTGACTTTTGCACGCAGGTACCCTGATATGTCAGTAGAAGAAATTGCAGTAAGTTGTCCGTTTTGCCGGAAAAATTGCAATTGCAATGTTTGCTTGTGTTCAAGAGGAATGATTAAGGTTGGATTTGTTCTCATATCTTACCTAAATTAGATTCTGAAATGGAAGAGAAATTCATATAATATAATTATATCTGCACATCTAATTTTTCAATTTCTTTTTTATATCTACTTTCAGACATCTAACAGGGACATGACTGACTATGAAAAAGCTCATTATCTGCATTATATGATTAACTTACTCCTACCATATTTGAAACAAATTTGTCATGAACAAAGTGAAGAGAAGCAGATTGAAGCTACAATACTAGGTTTTAATCTTCACCTTTTATGTTTGGCGTTATTACATTGAAAAACTTTACCAACAATAAGATCTTCTTTCAGGAAAATCTTCTTTTGAGAAGGAAATACCCCAAAGTTTTTGTGGCAACTACGAACGTGTCTATTGGTAGGTGCCCTCTCTTTCTTAAGATACTAGCATGATTCTTAACAAGTTTTATAATATCTTTCTTCTATTTTATTTTTCATGGAACAGTGATCATTGTGCTACTTCAATTATTGACCTTTATCGAAGCTGCCCAAATTGTTCCTATGAACTCTGCCTTAGTTGTTGTCAAGAAATACGTGATGGAAGCATTTCACCCCGGGTCGAGCAGAAGTTCGCATATGTGAATAGGGGCTACGATTATATGCATGGTGGGGATCCTCTACCTGAGTCTAGCGATTTAGGGGCATCAGAATGTCATACCAAGCTATCTATTGTGTGGAATGCTAAGAGTGATGGAAGCATTAGATGTGCACCAAAGGAGTTGGGGGGTTGTGGTAGGGCTGTATTGGAGCTGAGACGTGTCCTCTCAAGTGGGTGGATATCTGAGTTGGAAGTCAAAGCTCGCAATATGCTGAAAATTTGGGAAAATGAACATACAACTCTTCAGCAAGAAGAAGCTGTATCAAGCTACACCTCGTCGAGAAAGGAAGCTATCAGAGAAGATATAAATGATAATACCATGGACTGTTCAGAGTCAAGTAACATCCTAAAAGAAAGGTTGTTACTTTTCCAAAAGCATTGGTCCAATGGTGAACCAATTATAGTTCGTGATGCCCTTAAACAGGGGACTGGTCTGAGCTGGAAGCCGATGGTAATGTGGCGAGCCTTATGTAAAAATATGGTTTCAGAAGTCAGTTCAAACATGTCAGAAGTGAAAGCCATTGATTGCCTGGCTAATTGTGAGGTTTGGCCTTGTCCCTTTTGATGCTGAGTTTGAACATTTGGTGGTCAAATTATAGCATGTATGTCTAATGTTGTAATATTTTCCTTTTTTTCAAATCTCTCATCTTGTCTGGATTGGATATGAATTTCTAATTTTTTAAGAATGCCAATAGAATGCTTTTATACTCCCTAGTATCATTTAGTGCATCATGTATAAGGCATGCCCGATTAGCTTTAGATTCCTCATATTGTAGAGCTTCAACTGCCATCTTAGTATTTCATCTTCCAAATTCCAGTGTAATAGTTTTAGCTTGTATCTCGTGCACCATACAATATTATTTAAGTATTCACACTACTAAATTTAAGCAGGTAGAAATCGATACTCGAACATTTTTCAAAGGTTATATAGAGGGAAGAACATACAGAAATCTCTGGCCAGAGATGCTTAAGCTAAAAGACTGGCCCCCCTCTGATAAATTTGAAGATCTTTTGCCTCGCCATTGTGACGAGTTTATTCGCTCCTTGCCATTTCAAGAGTACAGCGATCCTCGGACTGGAATTCTCAATCTTGCTGTGAAGTTGCCAGACCATGTCCTAAAACCTGACATGGGTCCGAAAACATATATTGCCTATGGGATTAAAGAAGAGCTTGGTAGAGGAGACTCTGTAACAAAGCTTCATTGTGATATGTCAGACGCGGTATGCATCGATCTTCATTAGTCAGTAATTTGGTTGCTTAAGCAGTGGTTGGTCAATTTTCTTTTAATTGAATATTCTACTCACACACACTTATACATGGTTACTCAATCTTCATTCTTTATGAGGGCTCACATTTTGGTTTGCACATTGATTGGAAACTCAGTTTAAATAATCATTATAATTGTTTGTTTGCAGAAGATGAGCTAATATTACTTTTCCACTAGTCTAAAGGGATATCTTCACATGGTTCGAGTTTAGTTTGTTAATGTGTAACTATATTGTAACTTGTAAGGTGGTCAATATAAAAATTTGGTACTTCGGAGTTCAGAGAATTGGGGATTACCTTTCTTTTACTCTATTTGAATTAGATGGTCTGGCTGTGATAGTACATTTCTTTCTTACAAAGAATAAATAACTGTATACTTTATGTGTATTTGAGCTGTTATGTGCTTTTTGGTTTAGAAACTTTTCTTTTGTGACGTGTTTCAAATGGAAGCATATTGTCTTCTTTCTTGGTCTAATTTATTGTTTCGTAATTGTCATAGGTGAATATTTTGACCCATACAGCAGAAGTGATGTTAACTGACGAGCAGCAATTAATTATTTCTAAGTTGAAAGAAGCACACAAGATACAAGATGAGAGAGAACAGTGTGCTGAAGGAAGGGTTACTGACAGCCCGAATAGCCGACCTCTCAAAGACAACGAAGTACGGATAGGAAATAAGGTAGTTTTAGAATTCAAAGACAGAGAGAAGCGCCCTATTGAAATTAATGGAAGGATCTTTCCAAATGATGTACCTGAGGGGGTCACTTCTGCTACAGAGATTGAATCAATGGAAACAGGCAGTGCTCTATGGGATATCTTTCCGAGGGAAGATTCTGAGAAGTTAGAAACATATCTTAGGAAACACTCAAAAGAATTCAGACATACTTATTGTTCTCCTATTGAACAGGTATTAAAATTGTCACACTTCACATTTCTGCTTGTTCTTGTTCTTTTATACCTGATGCTCAAACATTATTCTTTTTTGCCTGATGCTCAAACCGAATTCTTTATTAATTAGGTTGTACATCCAATTCATGACCAATGTTTTTATTTGACATCGGAGCACAAGAAGAAGCTGAAGGAGGAGTTCGGTTAGTCCGAAGAAATTGCATACAATTTTTGCTCAGTGTCTGTAATTATTTTACTTACGCAAATCTCGACTTTTAGGTGTAGAACCGTGGAGTTTTGAGCAAAAACTTGGGGAGGCAGTATTTATTCCTGCTGGATGTCCACATCAAGTCAGGAATCTCAAGGTAAAATATCTACACAAATTCGATTAATTTTCTGAAATAATTTAGTTGTTTCTGTTGCACTAATCACCATATGCCAAACCTTGCACAGTCATGCACAAAAGTTGCTGTAGATTTTGTGTCCCCCGAAAATATCCACGAGTGTCTGCGTTTAACTAATGAGTTCCGCCAGCTTCCCAAGAACCACAGGGCTAGAGAAGATAAGCTTGAGGTAGTTTGCTTCTAAATTCTATTTCCTTCTGCCTCTTTATGATGTCTGCATCAAAATTAGTCGCAAGTTTATACGGTCATGTTTTTATATCCTTGATGGAACAGATAAAGAAGATGATAGTTTATGCCATTGATGAAGCTGTCACAGACTTACAAGCTTTACTGAAGTGTTCTTGACTGGCTGAACGCTGCTTGCAAAACGCTACTTCACTTGCATGGTCGTTGATGCTCTAGATTTTGTATAGTATCCAGATAGAAATTGTGAAGTCGGAATGTTTATTGGAGGGTTAAAGTATAGACAGAAAATTGTGAAGTTGGAATTTTTATTGGAGAGTTAAAGGCACTCACAATCGAGTGTTTCCCATTTTGGTAATAACGTAGGGGTTTTGTTGTTACAGCTATTTTTTAGATGGGAATTCACTAATATTTGTACACATATAATGACCAAAAGAATAGAAAATAGATAATGGAAATTACTGTACTCATTCGTGGAGACAGTCAGTTATCTTGCAACCTGTGGGTTATAGTTGGGTCTTTTGTAAGCTTCTTTACTCATTCTGATACTAATGCTGGATTCTAAACAATTTTATGTTCCACTCCAATTTTATATATAATGTTGAAGTAGTTCATTTTATTCGTAATCTTGTTAGTCAGACAGTCATGTTGAAAAATATCACTAATCATAAAGTTTTTATTGTGACAATAACTAAGTGTTTTTATGAATAATATTACACAAAACCAAAATATTATTGTAAAAATTGGAAGAGAGACGAAGAAACTTTATTTTTGAAGTGTGAATAATCACTATTTTTAAGGATATCATAAACTAGTAAGAAACTTTTAAAAGAGTAAATAAACCCAGGATAATAATAGAACAAGAAGAAAAAATAAAGAAGGGAAAATGAGAGATGTGTGTTTATAGAAGAGTGTGAAATAGTTCTATTTATAGGTGTAGATTGAGCTCAAAACCCTAACTATCCACCAGCAATCACCTCACCCCAATACTTAGGAAGTGCCATAAAATAAGGAAAAAAAATCTGCAGTAGTTAGAAGAAGACTTGGTAGTGGATCTGCAATATTCTCTGTAATTGCAACGTGTGAGAGTGAGTTCCTTGTTTTTTTATTGCAAAAACAAGGAGATAAAAGAACAAAAGAAGAAAATCCTGGGTCTCATATAAGATGTAATGCATCAAAGTTGGTATGAACCAACCTTAGACTAAAACTTAATACACAGTGTAGTTGGTATAACAAGTTATATGAATCAAAACACTTAGTGTGTGTCAGGGGTTTAACAATCACAATACACCCCTACAATTCTTACTGTTATTGCTGTGTTACGCTTACTAGGTCATGTGCGTACCCGATATTCATGAGTGCTTTAGAAATCTTGCAAATATCTCATACAAACGGTCCCACTTGACACTCATATAGGTGACTTCGTCAAGCGTATGCTGCAAATCATACACCACCTGTAAAGGATATGAAATCGTTCGTACACCACATAGAATTTTAATTACAAAGTTTAACCTCTCAATGATGCAGTATCTAGCACTTTCACATATACACCATAAGAATGGACATAATTGATTTTAATCAATTTTAGTGCTAGCAGAACTAACAAGTGACTTGTTTTTACACATATGAACCTTATTTATGGGATCTCCAATCACAAAGGTTGGGTTACCATAACCTGTTTGTTTGCAAGTGACTTAAGTCTCATTCCCTTCGATGTTTCTAAAATCATATTTCTCGCTAAGGGTTTGGTCAGAGGATCTGCTAGATTTCGTTATAACTTCACATAGTCAATGGAAGTTGTTTCATTCTTTAGCACCTGCTTCACTAAATTATGTCTCAATTGTATATATCTATTTTTTCCATTGTAGTTCTTATTTTTAGCTATAACTATTGTTGATTGACAATCATAGTGTATTGATACAAACGGGGTCGATTTCATTCCTAATGGAATGTCTGTTAAGAAGTTTTTCAACCACTCAGCTTCACTACCAATCATTTCGAGAGCAATAAATTCAGATTCCATTATTGATCTTGTAATAATTGTTTACCTGGCTAATTTCCATGTGAATGCATAACTATTAGTGGATTTTGTCTCATCTGAATCAGAGATCGAGTTAGCATCACTGTACCCACCCTTCTAATACAACGAGAAATCCACTATATTCAATGACATAATCCATTGAACCTCTTAAGTATTTCATAAGCCTTGCAAGGGCATTCCAATGTTGTTGATTAGGACATTGAGTGTACCTACTACATAAGCAATGTCAGGTCTAGAAAAACTCATTAAATGCAGTAAGCTCCCAGTTATGTGGGCATACTGAGGTTAAGAGATTGAGTCTCCTCTATTTTTCTTTAACTTAGAGTTAACGTCATAAGGGGTATTCACCGGTTTGACGTTACAACGCCCAAACTTCCTAAGAAGTTTTTCAATGTATTGTTCTTGGGATAGTAAAATATTATTGCCCTTCCTTATGACTTTAACTCCCAAAATCACATTGGTTTCACCCATGTCTTTCATTTCAAATTTAGATCCTAAAAGCAACTTAATTCTGGAGACAATGTCAATGTATGTACCAAATATTAACATGTCATCTACATATAAACATATAATGACATATTTACCACTTTTGTACCAAATATTAACATGTCATCTACATATAAACATATAATGACATATTTACTACTTTCAAATTTAGAGTACACATATTTATCAACATCATTAGTTAAAAAGTCATTACAAAGTAGAACACTATCAAGTTTTTCATGTCACTGTTTTGGTTCTTGTTTTAATCCATATAAAGATTTTAAAAGTTTGCACACTTTGTTCTCTTGACTAGGAATAATACACCCTTCAAGTTGAGTCATATAAATTTTCTCCTATAATTCACCATTCAAAAAGACTATCTTAACATCCATTTGGTGTATAACCAGCTTATGGATAGTTGTTAGAGCTAACAAAACTCGAATAGAGGAAATCCTAGTCATAGAGGCAAATGTGTCAAATATAATCAATGTTAGATTTTTAAGTAAAACCTTTTGCTACTAATCTTGCCTTATATTTATCTATGGATCTATCAGGATGATACTTTTTCTTAAAGATCTACTTACAACCAATAGGTTTTGCTCCTTTAGGCAAATCTACTAAAGTCCAAGTATTATTTTTCTTAATTGAATCAATTTCAGTCTTAATGATGTATATTGCATTAGGAGCCCTAGTAACCATTAAAAAACTCGTTGGATCATTTTCAACTAGATAAGTGTAAAAGTCATCTCCGAGGTTTCCTTCCTCTGTCTTTTGCTTCTCCTCAAATCCTCATATACGTTATCACTATTAATATCTATAGATTATTTAGGTACCTTTAGAGGAAAAATATATTCAAATAACTCAACATTTTTTTGTCTCCACTATAATATTATGCTCAATTACATCACTTTTGTTGACAAGAAATCTATGTTCTGCATAGCCTAAGAACATACAATCAGAAGTTTTAGAGTTTATTTTCCTTTTCTCCTTTTCTTAGGATTGAGTAACATTACCTTAGCTAGACACCCCATACTCTTAGATATTTAAGATTAGGTTCATAACCTCTCCATAACTCGTAGGGATTTTTACCAGTTTTCTTATGTGGTATCCTATTTTGTAAAAAAATAGGTTGTAAGTAGAGCTTCTCCCCAAAGGTTATTAGGTGCACTAGAGCTAATAAGCATAACATTCATCATTTCTTTTAGAGTTCTGTTTTTTCTCTCAGCTACTCCATTAGACTCAGGTGAATATGGTGGGATCACTTCGTGAACAATACCTTCTTTAACACAATAATCATTAAATGCTATATATTCACAACCTTTACGCGACCTAATTCTTTTAATTTTCCTATTTAATTGATTTTCTACTCCACGTTATAAGTTAAGAACATGACAAATGCTTCATCATTATGTTTGATTAAATATAATTCGGTGTATCTAGAGTACTCACCTATAAATGTCACAAAATAATTTTTACCATCTCTTGACGTGGTTTGTTTTAGATTAGCTAGATCAATATGAATTAATCCTAGAAGTTCAGTTTGATATTCTATAAATTGACAATTTTTCTTGGTTATTTTAGATTCTACACATATATTACATTTCTTATTTTGTTTATCATGCATATTTTGTTTACAATTTCATAATATACAAAGAATTCACGTGTCTTAGTCTAGCATGCCACATATCATATGAATCAATAATATAAACAGAAGAAGATTCACTAACAACCTTAGAGATATTAAGTAAAAAAAGACCTTGATCACAATATCTCTTCCCTACAAACACATTATTTTTTGTAATAACAATCTTATCCGATTCGAACGATACTTTAACTTCAACTTTTTCCAGCAGTGCTACAGAGATTATATTAGCTCTGATTAATGACACACATGTTGTAACACCCTACCTTATAAACCCTCAATAAGAAGAATTAATAATTTTTGTTAGCATAAATTTTTTTTTAACCGATAATAATCTTTCCCTTGTACATAATATTAATATACATAAATTTTCAATAATACATTCCCGCATTTCATCATTTTAAAAAGTACTAAAAGTAAACATTCATAATTACATATAAATAAAATATTAGTACAGATCCTCCAAAATATTAAGGCAACATTGGGAATACTTCCTACGAAGCGATTAACTACACAAAAGAGTAACTACTACTCACTACCCTGTAGGTCTATATACTATAAAAGACTATCTATAAAAGTTTGGATATATTTATCCTAATACATGTTGCCATCATTGTGGCTCCCAGCTAATGAGTATGAGTAACATACTCCTCGGTTCGGAATCTGTGACATCTCCCCTCTCTTCAAACAATGACCGATCGAGTCCAACGAGTACCGCAAGCACAAAGAAATAAAGAAAACGAAAGACAAGAGGGTGAGCAACAGTTCATACATCATTTTAAAATCAACATCATAAACATTCACAAGTCAATCAAATTCCAAATGATTGATGTTAATGATGCATTATCCTAATATGTTTTCTAAAATGTTTATGCATGCGGGCCCGAATCATTTCTCAAATCGATGCTGGGGTAGCCAGGAGTTGAAACTACTAGGCATGGAAAATCCACCCACCGGATTGTTGAGACCCATGCTCAAATATAAACCCAGTAG